CAGTCAAACACTAATTGTAAGTAAGACCGAAAGGAATTATTGCGTCACACGGCGTGAACTTTTAGCTATCGTCCGATCCGTGAAATCTTTTCACCATTATTTGTACGGACGCAAATTCCTTATTCGAACGGATCACATTTCACTTAAATGGTTGTTGTCATTTAAAGACTTAGAAGGACAATTGGCGCGTTGGTTGGAAAGATTGCAACAATACGATTTCGAGATTGATTATCGTAAAGGTCTTTCCCATAAAAACGCGGGTTATCTAGACGACCGTGCATAAGTAAACAGTGTCGTTATTGTACTAATATAGAACTTAAAGAAGCCATAAAACAAGAAAACCATGTTGGAAGAATGATTCTCGCAGAGAACAACCATAAAAATTGGCAAAAAGAACAAATGGCGGATTCTTGCATCAGCTGGTTTTTATCAAAGAAAGAAGCAGGAGAAGGGCGTCCTTCACGGCACGAAATGGCGGCTAAGGATGTCTCTACCAAGGTATATTGGTCCTATTGGGATGCTCTTGAAATTAAGAACGATATTCTCTATAAAAAATGGGAGGCTCCTAATCTGTAGAAAACAATCCTTCAATTAATAATACCCAGGAGACTTATACCGCAAATTTTTGAGGAGCTACATAATTCTCCTACAGGTGGACATTTTGGTATCAATAAAACTCTGGACAAAGTAAGGAGGCGATTTTATTGGGCAACATGTAAACAAGACGTGGAAGAATGGTGCAAGACGTGTAAAATTTGTTTGGCTAAAAAAGTTCCTCCCGGTAAAGGGAAATCTCCTTTGCAGATATACAATGTGGGAACTCCATTTGAGAGAGTACAATTAGACGTTCTTGGCCCACTACCAATAACTTCTGCTGGAAACAGGTATTTACTCGTCGCTGTTGACTGTTTCACTAAGTGGGTAGAAGCTTTTCCGCTTAAAAATGTCAGATCGATGTGATAAAAATGTCGAAAACTATAGCGGAAACTTTTCTAAATTAAGTTATTTTCAGGCACGGAGTACCTCTTGAGGTTCATACCGATCAGGGCAGGAACTTCGAATCAAGAATCTTCCGTGAACTGTCACGTTTACTGGGAATAAAGAAAACAAGAACTACTGCGTTACAACCACAATCAGACGGACAAGTGGAGCGTCAGCATCAAACCATCTTGGATTATCTAGCAAAATTCATCTCTGAAAATCAAAAGGATTGGGATCGGTGGATTCCATTATATTTGCTAGCGTACAGATCCTCCAAGTATGATACTACTGGAATGACTCCAGCGGAGGTTTATTTTGCCCAAGATCTACGTCTACCAGTTGATCTTTTATGGAAATCCACCCAAAGTGAAGGAGGTAAATTCTCCTGAAGATTACTTAGGAAAGGTGAAAAGGAAATTAGAAGAAATCCATGAAGGAGTGAGGAAACAAATAGATATTAAATCTTCACGAACAAAAACCTGGTACGACTTAAAGGCGAGACAGATATATTTTGAAGTAGGACAGAAAGTGTGGTTATACAATCCCCGAAGAAGAAAAGGAAGAACGCCCAAGTTGCAAAGCAATTGGGAAGGGCCATATTTTGTAATTGGGAAACTTAGCGATGTAGTATATTGTATTTGTAAGTCGAACAAGCATAGAAATAAAGTCGTCCATTCGGATAGATTAGCGCCTTATTTAGAAAGGCAATTAGATAATTCGGTGAATAAATGTAAATAAATCGGAGCCCTAACATAAAATTTAAAACATGATAATTATATGTTTTTACTTATAGTGGAAGCTGCGCGTATTATATTTCTTCTTAGTTTCAGAGACTGTGTTTTTACAACGGGAAAAAAGAGGCTCTAAGAGGCTAAGATTTTGGCGATGAAATCGGGCAGACCGGTGCTTCCACTACTATCTTCCGGATCATCTGGAGTGCGAGCATCACCACGAGCACGACCTCGTCATTATAAGACTTTTTTTTTAAGAAGGTTGCCTCGCTCACGGTTTTTGAACCGTGGTTTTTCCGTGGGACAGAGGGCAAATGCCGAGGCAGGGATTGGGGGTAGAGGTACCGCGGTACGTCATTCTTTTCCCTTCCCCCCTTTTCGAAAAGGGAAGATCCAAGAACGCAAGGCTTCAAGAGAAGAGGCAAGAGGATCCTGGTGTGCCCTTCAAGAAGACGGGGGAATGCCGGATGGGTTTCGTCTTGCGAGGGAAATGGTTATCCTCCGGAGAGAAACTGAAGACGGGTCCTGCCCAGAAGGGAGGAAGTCACAGGAGGTCTCAAGAGAAAGCCAGAAGAATGCACTTCGAAGGGACCAGAGCTCCGGAAAACTCGCAGCAGCGCAGGAAGGGAGCAGGAAATTAGTCAGGAAGAAGTTCCGAATTTTTCTTTTGGAGAGCCTAGTTCTTGAAATTACAGGAATTGTCGGGACGACAATTTGAGAGAGGAGGGGCAGTGTTACGTCTGTGCTGTGCCGATTCCGTTGGTCACCGCTCGCGAAGGATTGAAGACCGCGTTGTCTGGCAACGAGCCGCTCAGCTGATTAACAAGATCGGCTGATTTTGCGGTGAAGGTTTGACGCGTACGGATGTGATTTCTGCCCGCAGTTATTACTTCTGTTATTGTGTCTTGTGACTATTCGGAGTGTGACAATAAAGAGTTATTGTTTATATATTCCCCGTCTCCATTCATTTCCGTGGCTCGGAGTGCGCGGCGCGTTCGCGAGTGTGAATTCGCGGAGCGGGCGTAACAATACTTATTTAGCACTCGTCACTCACATTGCACGTTTTCACCACTCGAAATTACTCGTCGTAAGGCATAACCGATAGCACGAGAAAATCAGCTCCGCTCCTGTCGAGATTCGAACCGAGGTCTCCAAGTCTGCTCTACGAGGCCGCCACTTTTCCACTGGGCCACACAACTCCTATATCGATATTCGCTTCCTTATGTACCTCTTATATGAAAAATTATAATTATTATATAGTACACTATTAGAAATGTAACCACGAGCTTCCTTTACATGTAAATAAAGCTTGCGGTTATGAACGAAATTAAAAGTAATGAATGATTTAACTCAAAATTAAGTTACAGTAGTTACTTATATGTAATGAACGTGTACATTAAATTTATGAAATTTAATGTATTATACTTTTAATAAAATTTTATGTATATGTACACAAATATACTTTTTAATTATAAATACATTAAATTTGATGTAGGGGAAAGTGTGCGAATTGTGCGCAGCGGGTAATTGTGCGCATCCTGGTACTTTGCCGATAGATGAAGACATCGCCGTGATGAAATTTTTACACAGGAGGTCGTCCTCTTAAGTTATAACTACAAAAGATTTGACGTAAGTACGTTGATAAACAGTGAAAGACAAAAAAGTGAAAACATACATTTTCTTGTTATTTCAGCATTCAGAAAATAAGGTGGTAAGTCCATATTTTTAATTTGTTGGTTTAAAGTTGTATACGTTATTAAAGTACGTTATTACTTTAATACGCGCCTTTCGACCCGTTATTTATTAAATTTGGTTAACTGGTATTGAAGTAATCGTATTTCATATAGAGTCAGGTCGTCGCGGGCAACTGTGCGCAGGCGGTTTGAAATGCGCACAATTACTCATCTTCAATAGACTATATAGCTATTTTCCAGTATACACAAGTGAAACTGAGTTTGAAGTGAGCTGAGTATTTTATACACGATTATGACGTCGCTACTTGCTTACTTTTGTAAAAAGTTATCACATGTCAACATAGGTTCATAACCCCACTTTGAATTGATTTTACGAGACTCACTAAAGCATACAGTTTCGATCTTGTGCGGATTATAGGTAAGTATTCAGTTGAATCTCACTTGTCAGAATGCAAAAGAAACGCGTATTCAACTGAGTTATGACGTCATAAGTGAGAATTATCTGAGAATCAGTGTAGGTAAAGCAACTGGGAATGCTCCGATTGCACACATTGCATGTTACACACATGCGTCGCTTATTGACTAATTTAAAAATAAAATATTCTCATTGGTAAAGCAGTGAAAAATTACTAGGCAGCAGCTGATATGAGTAGTGTGTGCAATCGGGATTGTAGGCAAATGGGATCCTCCCAAAGCAACTTATGACTAGCACTAATTTTTTTTTACACACAACTAAAAATATTGTGTATTAATTAAAAAATTAATTAAAATAATATTATGTATTAATTAAAGAAGTCGTTTAACTTTTAACTTGTTAAGTTAAATAATTTCATTAAACTAATTTTTTTGTTTCTTCTTTGCATTATTTTAGATGCCTCGTAAATACGAGAGAAAGACGGATAAAAATAATTGGACTGAAGCTCAATTAAAAGGAGCGATACGATCAATAACACACGGTCATAAACTCAAAATCAGAGAGGCTAGCCATAAATATGATATCCCTGAGTCTACACTTCGAAAACGGATGAAATTCAATTCGCGCGCGCTGGAACATGTACCATTGGGACGTAAACCTACTTTTACGATTGAAGAAGAAGCACAATTGGAGGCAGATCATATAATTAATCTCGCAAAACTATATTATGGAATCACGCCTCTTGAGCTTCGCAGAGTTGCTTACGAATTTGCAGATGCTAATAAAATTAGCCATACTTTTAATACAACATTAAAGTTAGCTGGGAAAGATTGGCTTTATCTTTTTCTCAAGCGACACCCACACATTGCATTAAGACAACCAGAGGGCACCAGTCTTAATAGAATTACTGCATTCAATAAAGATTTTGTTCTACGGTTCTTTAATAACTTGAATGAAGTCTTTCAAACATTTAAATTTAAACCGAATCAAATTTACAACATGGACGAAACTGGTATCACCACAGTGCAAAAAAAATGTCCAAAAATTTATGCGTAGAATGGCACTAAAAAAGTCGGAGCAGTAACTTCAGGAGAAAGAGGACTAACAATTACTGTAGTTTTTTGTGTGAATGCTGCAGAATATTATATTCCACCCATGTTAATTTATCCAAGAGCTCGCATGACACCCCAGCTTCAAAGAAACGGACCCGTAGGAGCAACTTATGGTTGTTCCCAAAATGGATGGACCAATGAGCATCTCTATATAAACTGGTTGCAGCATTTTAAGAACCACGTAAAACCAACTCATGATAACCCGATGCTTATTATATTGGATAATTACGCAAGTCACATTTCTCTTGCAGCTTTTGAATTTTGCAAAGCCAATTTCATCACTGTTGACACTCTTCCCCCTCACACGTCTCATAAAACTCAGCCTCTTGATCTGACTTTCTTTGGTCCGTTAAAAACCGCTCTTTATCGGGAATATGAATTATTCTTGAGTACGAATGCTTATGAGAAAATCACCGAATATAACTTCGCAGAATTATTGAATAAGGCATTCCTTAAGGTAGCTATGGAAAAAGGAATTTCTGGTTTTTCGTCAGCTGGAATTTGGCCTATAAACCCTGACAAATTTAACGAAGACGATTTTGCTCCGGACGATGCTGGTCAAGAACTCGTTACTGAAGCACTTTCTGAAATTTTCCAACCAAATGAAAATGTTGATTTTAATAAAGAGGATAATTCTGCTGATCGTGAAACTATAGCGTCTTCTACTCCAAACGATTCCATATCAGATTCTTTCGATTCAGTCCCGTGTGCTTCAACTTCGAAATTCACTGTTGCAGACTTCGCACCAGTTCCCTCAAGAAATGTAAAGATACGATATTCTCATACAAAAATGCAATCTGAAATTTTGACTGCTAGTCCACAAAAAAGAAAATTGGAACAGGCAAAAGAGAAGAAAATAAATGCTGCGAGGAAAAAAATGGAGAGGTTGAAGAAAAAAGCAGACAGCGGAACTAAGGAGAATTTGAAACCAAAGAAAGAATTGAAGAAGAGGATGAAGATTGAAGTTTTGAAAAGCGAAAAGTCGACGAGCTTTGACATCAACTCGGACAATTTGTTTCCTCCTAATGAACAATGCACTATTTGCGGAGAAGCTGGAAGAGACAAGGAACACTGGTTTCGGTGCTGTCTGTGTTCTGAATGGAGTCCACAAAGAATGCAGTGGAGCTGATAATGCTGAAAATTACATATGCGATTTTTGCTTTGATAACTAATATTTCCACTTTGTATTTTCTTTCTTTATTTTGTCAAAGTCTATGTGCATTATTATTATAGGCTAGTTTTGTATTTTTGCTAAAGTCTATATGCATTAGTATTATTAGAGGTTAATTTTTTATTTTTACTGAAGTTTATATGCATTAGTATTACCTAGTAGATGTTAATTTTGTATTTTTGTTAAAGTCTATGCGTAATATTATTAGAGGTTAGTTTTATATTTTTGCTAAATATATATAATATATGCAATATATATTTATATTACAATGTTATAAATGGATTTTATGATTTTTTCTTTGTCAACATTACATAATTCATTCACTTCCTACAACTTTTGCTTTGCGCACATTCTCTAACCCATGCGCACAATTACCCGACGCGTAACAAATTTTTTCGCTTTTCCGTTTTTTCCTTTTTGCCAAATACAACCTTATTGAATGAAAATCTGTTCAATATAAGAATACGTAATGGTAGGAGAATGTTTATAGTTTCTATTTCCCTATTTATATCGCTTTAAACTTAGAAAACCATCCCAGAAAAATAAATATCTCTTAGGTGCGCACAATTTGCCCACTTTCCCCTAATGTCATGAAATTAATTTCAAATTGTGTAACTTAAAATGTAATGAAATTTAACAGCGTATTTCTAACAGTGTAATTATATTTAATACATTGTGTATAAGTTATATACCACATGAGTAGAGCATATAGGGGGATTTTAACCCGGGAGCTCCGAGGGGGGGTGCCCCCTGCGAGGGGGAGTGACGTCATAAATGGTGACGTCACAGGGTGAGGGGGTGACGTCACAGGGAGAGGGAGGGGGATGACGTCATAAATAGTGACGTCACAGGGGTGGGAGGGGTGCCATCACAGGGCGAGGGGATGACGTCATAGGGGGAGGAAGAGGGATGACGTCATAAATAGTGACATCACAGGGGAGGGAGTGGTGACGTCACAGGGTGAGGGGGTGACGTTACAGGGGCGGGAGGGGCATGACATCATAAATAGTGACGTCACAGGGGAGGGAGGGGTGACGTCACAGGGTGAGGGGCTGACATCACAGGGGTGGGAGGGAATGACGTCACAGGGTGAGGGGATGGTGTCACAGGGGAGGGAGGGGATGACGTCACAGAGTGAGGGGATGGTGTCACAGGGAAGGAGGAAGGGTGACATCATAGGAGGTAATGTCACGGGGTGAGGGATGACTTCAGGGTGATGTGCGAGGATAATGTCCCGGGAAATACGTGCGGAGAGAGGAGAGAATTACGGGGCCCGCGTGGTATACCGTCATCGCGGCGCATTATCGGATAA